GTAACCAAAGTATTACAGTTGTTTTCCTATTCGTTTTTGCTCTTCAAATGGGCCACATCCTTTGAGAGATTTCTATGCCGTTTTTAATGTGCGAGTCGTTATGCGTTGTACGCTTGTTCAAATCTGCCTTTTTGCAATGGATTGTCATTTTGTATTAACCTCATGTTCGGGCAGACTTCATCCAACAACGAGGCCGATGTGACATCTGGTCCCGCCGACAGTTTCCACATTGTGTCAACCTAGCATGATGTCCTTTACTCAATCTTCTCGATCGAACAGTCTGTATCTCCAAGCTGAAGTGAGAAGGGACGGCAAATGCGACTTCAACTTTGTCTCTGGTACGGCTATATCAGCAGTAAACCCCGGGGCTGCTCCGCCCCGTTATCAGTATGTTGATGTAATACGATAGTGGTTTATCCCTCGGTTCTGGTGAGGCGCCACTTTTGTACTTTGAATTAGCCCCCTTGTACTTCGCTGGGTGGGCTGGCCTTTTGGGCCATGCCAATATCCCAGACACCTTCTCCGTGCTAAATATATATTCTGCCCGAGTATTGTGTCTTCTTTCGTCTTCGGGGAGTCCCAGGACGCTACATTAAAATTGTTTTACTGTCTAACAAGCCACGATTAGCAGCAGGAGGGACGTTGGTAGATGGGGCCGATTTCCCACGCAGCACTGGGAGTGTCCTAAATCTTGCAAATGACACTAAAGTCTCGGTAGCCTTCTCGTCACCGAGGATGTGTCAATGGTATTTAAGATTTTTTATTCGAAGCCGCAGCAATACCTACGTACAACCTCAGTGGGTTATGTCCTCGCCTTACTCATCGCCGCTAGTGAAAGGAAAGAGCTTTAGAAGTTACTGGTGGAGCATGAGAGTATAATCCCATGGCTGGATGCTGGGACGAACAAGCATCGTAAAACACACAATGGACACCGACGAGGATAAAATGATCGGGTGCACATCCTGACGCATACCGCATTTCTGCTGGATAGGTGAACGGTCTAGTCAATGAGATGCTGTAAGTTAAGGCCCTAAGGCTCTCCAAATCGCTATCAACCCTGCCGATTGCTTCAGTCAATAAAAAGGTGAAAGTCTCCGTCTGTGCGTCAATTACAGAAAGTCAAACTCAGTCATCGAGACTTTGCTACCTCGCGTAAACGACTCGTTAAGCTTCCTACACGAGTCAAGGCAATTTTGCATGAGGGATTCCCGATTTGAATGTTGGAAAGTGATGGAAGAACCACATAGGGGGGAAGAAGTTTTAATATTAACAAATAGGTTTTGTGAATCTCAGGCCATGCCTTTTGGATCCTGCAATGCAGCACCCGCTATTTAAGGCTTATGCACTTCTCTGACTGGACTGTTCTCTTAGTATTGTATCATATGCCCGAATCCCATGCTTGTCTTCGGTCGAGATACTCCGGAACAGAGTCTACGTTAGATTGCCTACAAGATCAGGCTTGTCACTAAGCTCTCGTTAGAGGGAGCGGTGGTTACTGAACCCGTAAGGTCCACGGGTGTGCACAGCGACTTAAAGGCGAGATGCGATGAATGCTTAACCTCGTGCGTAAACACCTGCGCCAGTCACACACCAGGTAAGCACAGTTTAGTCTAATAAAAGGGAGACCTAGTTCTTCTCTGGAAAGTTGTTCCACCTGTCGGGAAAGTGGCAACTTTTACCACCCTTAAAGCCATGATGTATTTCGAGTGACGAAGATCACCTCATTACCAAACAACTTAGTTCGCATCACACAAATCCGTGCACAACCAATCACAGTCCACCACAAAATGGGGCCTTATAAAGGTGCATCACCGGTTGGGTACGAAGGTGGCATCTGCATACTAAGAGGAAAAAAGCTCATTGAAAATAACGTGTAAGGAAGCAATTTCCAGAGGAAGGACCGGGGACGGGACTCAACATGACGAGAAGGTATGTAATGTACGTTTAGCTTAATATGCTTTTGGGTGGGAAGCGACCAGTGCACACCAACCTCGTGAGTGACATGATGCTGCCACATCCTAACGAGGAAACTGACGCTGACCCTTCGCAAAACATTATGCAAACTGTGCAAATACAAGATGCCTTCCTCTACTCAATCGTTTCTACCCAAGGGTCTGAAGCCGCTGGTAGGAGAAATAATGAAAATATTACCATTCGACCCGATGGTACTTGCACAATACATTTGAAAAGGATTTTACGAGAATAGAAGTCAGAAATACCGTTTTTGTGGTAAACATATCAAAATACCGAGCTGCATTCCTCACAATACAACTCAGCCCGCCCATGCCACAACCTGCGGTGATATCCGGAACAGGCAAAGGCAGTCAAATGCCCCTCGTTGGAGCCACTTATATCCAGAGTGCACTCTCGTTTGTGGGACATCATTAAAACACCGAACGTTATAGATGACCTTGTATAAAACCACCTTATCTCGAAAATGGATGCAAGCTCCTTGTCCATAGAAGGCAGGCCTCTCGAGTAGACACACTCCTCTCTGAGCCCCGCGGCCGCACCTACAGCTAACCTAGGAGTAAATACCCTGAACACAGATTGATTCAGATCACATCACTCCCTCTACAGACAAGAAACAACCAAACAGGGTGGAAAAAATTGGTACAGTTCATTTGAAGTGACTATCACGGCGAATGTTAACTAAAACACTAGTTTACCTATTCTAACGCCATCGAGTGATCAGAGCAAAAGTACTCTCTTAAGGGTAGAAGGCTGGAGTGGAAAATTTTTTTAAAGTTCAATACACAAGAGGAATAGTCAAAAGCATAAAAATATTGAGAGACGTTACTTGAGCCTCGGTTCTCCTCACCAGAACCTTAGCTATAAGTCGTTCGTCCACGCAATCATGGATTGGAGGGTCACTAGAATCGGCTTAAGTATTGTAGAATCCAGATAGCTCGAACCTTCTAAAAAGAATTACAGACCACCAACACGTTAGATATTTCTTTTACCTAAATATCGCTACTCCAATATTTATCAGCAAAAGTGAAAACATTAACAAAGCCTCTTCACAAGAGTCAATTTCGAGAAACAATTCAAAATCAAATGGTCAGGAATTATCAATAAATGAGAAGTAACAGCATTTGTGGCTGGAGAGTAAAGACTCCTTCATAATCTATGCGACAATTCTACGGAATAAACAAGCGATCGCCAAATCGAGCTTTGCCTTTCTCACCTTTTTGTTGACTAACGTACTCCTCCGCGATTTTGAGAACACTTTCGAGGGCGAGGCAGGCGACTGCGTAGTACTTTGACGAGAAGGAATTCAAAAGAAGTGGCCTGACTAAACATTGGATTTGAACCGGGTTCTCATTTAAATCACACTGGTAGGCAGTAAATGACATCACTCTTGCCTAAAATTGCCATCAGAACATCTCATGCGCGTACATTCCCAGTGCGGTAATAGTGCATCAATCGAAACGCTTGCCTTTTTAAGAAAAAATAGGAACTACAACTCAACTAGTTTACCCCTGGTTAAATTGCCCAAAGTAGCCTTAAGAAACAAATCTTATTTTGATAAAACAATCTGGGAAATTTACCAGTTGATCACCTGAACGTCTACCGAACAAACCCACCAAAGCGACAGAGTTTGGGAACTTGGCCTTAAATTTCAAGTGAAAGTCAATATCCTGCTTAGTTAAGGCTGTATTAAGGTCGTTGTGAGAATGATACCAGCCAACTACGCCAAGTTGGGCTCCAGTGGACCGACTGAAATCCTGCAATATGAAAACATTTTGTATGAACAAAGGTGATTTTGAAAAAGATCGCTAAGATGCATCAGTTTAAAATTCGTAGAGCATTCAAACAACCCTATTCTAGCAAGGGATGAATTAAGTCAGTAAACAACATACGCAAAAACAAAGCGGTTGTTTCACAACATGCGTCGGTGAAATGCTATTTCAAATATTAAGGCTTCTTCACAAAACTGGATATAATCTGATGTGCACCATAAAACCTATACCATGCGTTGAATACAGGCATATAGTCATAATATGAATAAGCACGGATACATCGACTGTTTATAAAGTTCTTATAGATACAAGCCTTTAAAGGATTATAATCAGTTCGCCATTAATGCATACCCCTTAAGAAAACGGAACAGCGGTAGAACTGTTCATAAAAGTGGCAGCTATCTTAAAGAGAACCAGCTTACAAACAATCTAGAGTCTTTGCAAAGAAACCAGCATAATAAACTGGAATATAAGAAACATTACCTGACATCTGGACTCAATCACCGAACAGTTTACATTCTGATTTGACGAAAGTGGGATTATGGTCACAACAAAAACGTCAGGCACTTTTAACTAAGGAAAATCAAAATGAGATGCAGTAATAGTACCGAACCAACGAGAATTCCCTTCATTTCATGCGTAATATCAAGAGCAAAGTGTAGCAATATCGCCTGGGATGTCGTCGGCGAGATCTTGACAGACGGTTCCATCTACATTAGACCATGAGCGGCTTGATCAAATCGACATGGAAATTTCGCATGCAACAGCCGTTACTTATTATTTAGCACCAAAAAAGAAAAACAGTTGGAACAATTCACTAAGCATTTGCTGTGCATGTAGCAAGGCAACCATGCGCAAATCCACCTAAATCATAAACATTAGGGCTTGTTAGTGCCAAAAAATATTGAAAAAATCATCTAGCTTTAGGTCAACTGATAAAAGAACCCAGAGCACGACCTCAAATCAGGAGTCGATCATTAAAGTGCCAGCTTGAGTAGCGCGCTTCCAAATATCAAAAGCGGGCTTTGCAGCAGAGGGTAAATAAAGCCTTTAATGACCTTCAAAACACAAAATACTTATAGAAGAGTGAAGGGCATTTGTTAGCTAAAACTTTGCATTGGAGGTGCAGACACAAGTATCACTTTAATAAACCACAGTAGCACTTTCGCCATTTCGTTGACTTTTAGGGTTTTTAAAAGAAGCGAAAGATTGTGTCTTTTGTTTATTGAAGCGCTGATCTTTGTTTCACCCGGTACAACTCAATTTAATGTACCTTCTTACCACCATGTGACGAATGACATTTGATGAGTTGGTACAACTAGGTTTTTACTGAAACAATTTACGCCAGCATGTAACTAGTCATTGTGAACATTTATAGGGTATCCGCACCGCTTCACTAGATTATCCTAATTAGTTAACTAGATGGAGATGCCGTATTTCCCATTGGTCTATTCGAATTCGTGGCGTGATTATGAAAAAAGTTTGTGAGTAGTCGTGCTATCTTATGAGTGCGTACTGTAAGTCGTTGAATTTCACCCATGCGCAGAGGTCTACAATGAAGCACAGCAGGTAATTCTTTTGCTTATGGGTTTTTTCGTGACAGGTGGCCTTCCCTTGAAATTCGATATTTCGTAGTAGACACGCAGAATTACTTGTGAATTCGCGGCGTCGTTGTCTTTCACAGATATTTATTTTGCTTGCTTCTTGTATTGGTGTTCGTTTGTTAACTTTTGTGTGACTACACACACTTTCCTGAATGATAATCGCATTCGTCACAAAGTTTACATTGCGATAACTAGGTTCCCACTTTCCTAAACATGCTCTCAAGTGTACTCAAACGTTTCAGATGTCCGATTAATGTTGTCCTTTTAAGACCTGGGAATGATGTCGATGAGGAGGTTGAGCCACCAACTTTTGAGGAGGAGCTCATGATTCTCGATGAGGCTGAAGCTGCTGATGAAGACATTCTTGTTGATGAAAGCGATGTTGTGACTGCCGACACCAAGATGACTTTTCCCAAAACTTGGTTAAGACCTCCAGTCCTGCCTATTGATGTGGCGAACGAGAAACTAGTTTTCCAACAGATGGATATTGACTTTTATAAGGTTATAGTAGTCTGGTTACATCTCATCGACATCCGTCATTTTCAGCCACATAAACTAATCCGCTTCAATGTATGTTTGGGTACACTTTAGGGTCAAAAGCTGTCGGCTATGCCCGGTCCTAATCACAGTCCAGTACCGATCATCCGCGTTTACGGAGTATCGGAGAAGGGGCACAGCGTTGTGGCTCATATTCACGGGTTTATGCCGTACTTTTATGTTTCTGCACCACAACACTTCATGGAGAAACATCTTATAGAATTCCGTAGGCAGTTGAACCTTGCTCTTCATCGGGAACTGAAGGGAAACCAATCAGAAGGTCTTAAAGATTTGGTCCTTAATGTAGAACTTGAGGAAAAGGAAAGTAAGCAACAGTTTCTTTAGACCAACCTATCTTACACGAATTACCTAATTTCTGTTTATCTTCGGTTAACTTTACCGAGCTCCTCAAATGTCTGTGTTGTTACTCGAAATTTGCCTTAGTGGATTTTACTTTAAGGCACTAGCGTAAGTAGCCTGAAGCCTAGGCATTAATGAACGCAGATTCGAAATACGTGTTGACTCTTGACATTTCAGCTTCAGATTGATGCCAGTTTTTTCGTCTAATGTTCGTGCATTTTAAACCCCTTAGGTATATTCGGTTTTCATGGTAACGCCAAGTCCAAATTCATCCGAATTGTGCTTGCTCTTCCTCGATTCATTGCCACTGCAAGGCGCCTCCTCGAAAATGGTTTTTCATTTGGTGTCTTTTCTGATTGTGTGAGTTTTCACTTTCGGAGCGCTTTCTCTCCTGTCTCCATTTGAAATGACTTGCTGTTCCCTAGTCTTACGCGCCTTTTGAGGCCAATGTCGACTTTGAAACGCGTTTCATGGTTGATATCAACATGACTGGATGCTCTTGGGTCGAGTTGCCTGCGGGCAGGTACCTCTTACGACAGAAAAGTCAGATTATATCACCTTCTAAAGTGCTGCCGAAAGAGACGAGCATTGCGCAGCCCACTGGTGGATTCCTCTCTTCTGTTACGGGACAGACCAGATGCCAATTGGAGGTCGATATTGCGTGGAATGATGTCACAGTTTACCCCACCGAGGGCGAATGGAACAAGATCGCGCCCATTAGGATTCTCAGTTTCGATATTGAATGTGCCGGTCGAAGAGGTGATAGTTAGATCTAATTGGCTCTTCAAATTAGTAGGCCTCAGTTAAATCACTAATTTCCGAAGGTTTTTTCCCAACAGTTATAGCAGTTCATATTTCACCAGGGTTTTCTGTTCATCGAATAATCACATTATTACTGAACTCGATCCGTTTGCCCATGTTGATAATTCCTGACAACACTATTGCCTCCATCTTATGACTTTTGCTTTTTGTATCTATGTAATGCAAAAATTCTCTATGAATCTACTAGCTGAGGGAAATGTGTAACCTTATGTGTTTGTATCTTTACTACCCCTAACATCTCAATAATTTGTTTCCCATAAATCAGGCATACGAAGGCGATATATGTGGTGCGACGGTTTTTTCCGCTTATCACGTTGTTGGTAATGCGTTGTTTTTCCGTTTAGGTGTTTTTCCAGTCCCAGAGCATGATGCTGTTATTCAGATAGCCAATATGGTCATCAGATACGGTGATTCAAAGCCTTTTATTCGAAATGTTTTTACGCTTAATACCTGCGCTCCCATCGTTGGCTCACGTGTCATCTGCTTTGCAACGGAAGCTGAAATGCTTTCTGTAAACAAGCTTATTTAGGTTTCGCTATTTCAACCCTTCAATGCTTTGCTATTTTTTAAGCGTTTGCTTTTGCCGTAACATTAGGTTTTATGCCTAACTGCCTGAAGCATAGCATAACATGCAAATTTCCTGGTTAGTGCCCCTCAAATTAAGGTGACAACTATCCAATGGTTATTTTTCACAATGGATCCTATCGCTTCTTTGCTTTTTTTGTACAGAGATGGGCTCACTTCGTTCGAGAAGTTGATCCAGACATGATTACGGGATACAATATGCAGAATTTTGACCTCCCCTATCTAGTGAATCGATGCAATCATCTGAAAGTGAGTTCATTTCCTTTCTTGGGACGTGTGCTCGGGTCCAAGTCCGTTGTGCGTGAAAGCCTAATCCATTCGAAACAGATGGGCAGGCGGGAAAACAAGTACGTGTCTATTGATGGGCGCATTCAATTTGATCTATTACAGGTATGAAAATGTGAATGTTGTGCGTCGCTGGTTTAAATTCAGAAGTTCTTCATTATTGAAAAAATAACCCAGACAATACTATGCAAGTACTTTTGTGGCTTTGAATCACCATGACCCCGAGTTTGTTGCTTGTTCTGCCGTAAAGAGTACTAAGAGTTGAGTTTGGCTTTAATATTTAGTGAACATTCGATTTTTCTCTTTAGGTATTATTAAGAGATTACAAATTGCGAAGTTATACTCTGAACGCAGTTAGTTATCACTTCCTAAAAAAGCAAAAGGAAGATGTGCATCACAGCATTATTAATGATCTTCAAAACGGAAATGACCAAACACGCCGACGTTTGGCCGTATACTGCCTGAAAGACGCCTACCTACCTCTGCTCCTGTTGGATAAACTGATGTCTGTTGCGAATAGTGTTGAGATGGCTCGAGTTACTGGTGTTCCTATCGCCTATCTGTTGAAGCGAGGCCAACAAGTTAAGGTATAGTTATTTGCTGCTCCATACAGTCTGAATACTAAGCGGAATTATCATTCCGTTCATCAAAACGACACTTCACAATGTTAGTGATAGCCCATGTCTCATTGTATTGGCCTTCATCTCCATAATGTTTACTTCACGTCCGCTTTGTCAACTCTGCAGGTGATTTCTCAACTCTTGCGAAAAGCGAGGGAGCACGGTCTCCTCTTGCCAACCCAGAGACCAGATCAGGGTGACGAGTATGTGGGTGGGACTGTTATCGAACCTCGACGCGGCTTCTACAATGAGCCCATTGCGACCCTAGATTTCTCCAGCCTATATCCGAGCATTATGGTTGCCCACAACTTGTGCTACACGACATTCTTAAGGCCGGAGGATATTTCTGCTTCAGGAGGAATAGGCGGTCTTTTGGCCAATTATAATCTTGGTCCAGATGACTATATAAGAACACCTACAGGGGCGTACTTTGTCAAAAAACATATTCGCAAGGGACTCTTGCCATGTGTTCTTGAACAACTGCTGGAAGCTAGGATGAAGTGAGTCAGCAACATCATTTTTGCTGCTTTAATTAAAGTCCTCGAAGGCAACTTAAATACAGTTGAGGTGTGTTAGTATCTAAAAAACTTGCATCAAGGTTTACACCTTTTATCACTAAAATTGAACATGATGTTATTGTTCTATCCTAGACCAGTTCATGGAATCGAGGTATTTTAGTTTCAAACTCTCCATTTCTCTCAAGTCTAGGCTCTCAATACTGTTAGTCGTTGGGTTGATCTGTTGCTTAGTCAATAAGCCTCCTGGAATAACGAGTTATTTAGCCTTCTTACTGAGGAGTCGACTTTTCTATAGAGCCAAACGTGAAATGGCTGCAGAAACGGACCAATTCAGGCGGCGAGTTCTTGATGGTCGTCAGCTAGCGCTCAAAGTGAGCGCCAACTCTGTCTACGGTTTTACAGGTGCTCATGTTGGGAAACTGCCCTGTCTCGAGATCTCCAGCTCCATTTCGGGTTTTGGTCGGGAAATGATTGAAGAAACTAAACGTTTACTAGAAGAAAAATTTACTACCGGAAATGGCTATAAAAGTGATGCAAAGGTGCACATCTTTCCATGCGTTAAATATTTTGCCTTTTATTATTATTATTAGCCCTATGCGATTTATTTGTTTGGGTTCGTTTTACTAGCTTGAGGCCTCTCGACTCAATGGAAGTTCGCTAGCTTTGTCTATTTTGATGAACCATTTAATGTACTTTTTCTCTACGGACTTGTTCAGGTAATATACGGCGATACGGATTCCGTTATGTGCAAGTTCGGGGTTTCAACCGTCGAGGAAGCCATGCAGTTGGGCCGTGAAGGCGCTGAGTACATATCTGGCAAATTTTTGAATCCCATCAAGCTGGAATTTGAAAAGGTGGGTTTGAGCATTTATTTTTTTGTCAAGCAAATTCGTTAATTTACATAAGTACACTGCTTTTTACGTATGTTCCACCAGTTCACATGTTCCAATTTCACAAAATAGATACAGCTTAGGGATGGGTATTTTTTAAAATGACTCCTTTGTTGTTGTAAGAGTAGGTGAGGCCCATACATCTATTTGGATGTTCTCAAGTGGCTTGGTAGTCTTTTATCTTTCTAGCTGATAAAATCTGGGCAGAATGTGTTGAAATTTGTGCACTTCCAATCCATTTTAGGTTTACTTCCCTTACTTGCTTATAAACAAGAAGCGGTATGCGGGTCTCTATTTTACGAAACCGGATAAGTACGACAAGATGGATTGCAAAGGTATTGAAACGGTCAGACGAGACAACAGTCCCCTCGTGGCTAATCTCGTGAACGCTTGTCTCGAGCGCATCCTCATTGACAGGTGGGATTCTCGTGCCTATATCGTGATCCTATTGTATTTGAATTTACCAAGTCCCACGCCCATTGTCGATCACCATTGTTGAAAGAGCTAAATTATCAAACTGTGGGAATCCGGATTATTTATTTGAAAGTAAACTTGGTCATAGGGTTTATGCGTGCCTAAGCAAAAATTGACTTTGGGAAATGCAACATCTGTTTTGTGTTTCCTTGTCCGAGTTACCAAAGGTAAACGTGAATATTGGATGCGGTAAGTTTCCAAGTAAGTATTATAGTCATTTGGGTTAATCATGCTTTACGTTACCAAGTCAAATCGTGGGCTTCTAAGCATTCACCTGTGATGACTTTCTCTCTTTATGGGAGCAGAAGGAATTACCTTGGATCTTCATTGGACTGTGTACGTCTTCCAGGGACCCCTCAGCTGCAGTGAGCTACGCCCAGCGCACGATTTCGGATCTGCTCTGTAACCGGATTGATATCGCCCAATTAGTGATAAGCAAAGAGCTGACGAAAACCGACGAGGAGTACACCGGTAAACAAGCCCACGTGGAACTGGCTAATAAGATTCGTAAGCGCGATCCCGGCTCAGCCCCGCAGCTGGGCGACCGGGTGCCTTACGTCATTACCTCTGTGGGCAGCAAGAACACCGCCGCCTACGCCAAGGCCGAGGATCCACTCTACGTGCTGCAGCACAACATCCCCATCGATGCTAAATACTACCTCGAGAATCAGCTGGCGAATCCCCTCATGCGCATCTTCGAGCCAATTCTCGGCGAGGCCAAAGCCAAGTCGGCGCTATTGAGTCAGTTTTTACGCCACTCCTTTTTCCTGCCCATAGTTGTGCCCATTTAATATATATTGTTATTTCTTCATTCATTTGGATCCTGATAACAAAGTGAGATTGATTTCGGCCACTTAAAGTAACTGTGTGGCATTGTAGGCTGTTTTCAAATTTCAATCTCTGTATTATATTTTAGCCGGAGAGCATACACTAGTGAAGTCGGTTGTTCATTCAAAAGTCGGCCAGTTGTCCGCATTCACGCAAAAGCGTGTATCGTGCGTTGGGTGCAGGTCCCTTCTTCCTAAGGATCGTGAAAGTAAGCTGTGTTAGCAATCCATGTTGATGGTAGAAAAGTCTTGTATAACCAGCATTATAGTACTTACACGGTTTCGACAAGATATATTTCATCCATTAGTTGCCGTCTGTTTAGTGCGAATTTCCTTACACCTTGCGAAATTTGAACAGTTTTTAACAGATAGGTGTACTAATTGCACAATTTTACACTTAGCTGAGGCGCTGTGCACATACTGCCAGCCACGGGCCTCCGAGATTTACCAGAAAGAGACGGAGCGACTGCGCTCATTGGAGGCTCGCTACGCTCGTCTTTGGACCGAGTGTCAGCGCTGTCAAGGCAGCATCCACGAGCAGGTCATCTGCGCTAGGTCAGTCGGTGTTTGTTCTCTAGTTCCTAATACGATTTGAAGAAATGTTCCGTCAGATTTTGGGTCGTTTTTGTTTTTATAACCTATTTCAACATGAATGTTGCGGAACGGATATCACAGTAGTATGCCACTACTTTCCCCTTTATCCTTTGCATCTTCGTCACAATAAATCATCAGAATACTCTCGCTAATTTGTGGTGCTAATTAATTTCCTTTCGTACCTCAATGCGCACGGTTAATTGTTTCCTACGTCATCTTTTAAAAGCGCTTAGGCCATTGTAGTCTAAACAGCCTCTTGCGTCCATTCATTTCCTTTAAAGCACCTATCGTGCATTCTACATTAGCTTACTTTTATGGACCAATGAGTATGAGAATTGATATTGGTCTCTGGTTTTATTTAGTCAGAATCCGTTAACTCTGAATGTTAATGTGCACTGTTTTATACTTTAGCCGTGATTGTCCAATCTTTTATATGAGAACAAAGGCACAAACTGACCTTGATGAACATGTTAACATTATAAAGCGATTTGGAGAACCTTCTTGGTAGCTGGACGGAGATCCCATTATTTTTTCAATCAATTTCTTTACAATATATCGAAGTTTAATAAGTGATATTGAATTCCTCATTTGCATTGCGGGAGCTCATGGGTAAGTTGAACAAGGCTTGATATTTTGCAGCAGACATAAGATGACTGAGATGAGCCTATTTCATTCAACAACACTGTTATGCTACGCAGTTTTTGGAGGCCGCGAAGCTTGTACCTTGTTGTCAATGGGTAGGATGTGATACACAGACGGAGCATCGTTTGCCAACGGGGCAAGGTGAGAGGTATAGCCAGTAGCTGCTCATCGAAACAGTTTGAAGGTAACAGTTTTGTGAGACGGCAAAGTCCCAAGGCTGATCTCGACCTTACGCAGCGGGTGGGTTGTGGGTCCCGTTTACTTGGGGTCGGGGTAGCCTGTTTCATTTTCGCTGCGCCTACCCTTCAGAGACACCATATTTCGTAAATTAACAATGGGAAAAGTGTAATTATGGCCTGGAGGTATTTCTTTTGTCGAGTGGTTTCTTGTTTAAAGAGCGCGAAACGATAACTCATTTTTCCTACATTCCTTCGTGGACTGCTTTTAACGTCCCACATCCTGTTCCATGTACAATTCGGTTGCTACCCTGATTTATCCCCCAAAAATTTAGAGCAAAACCTAATTTGTTTATGATTCGTGTGGGAATAAACGACGAACTTGATCATTAACATATGTGCGAAATATCCAATAGTTGTTACCATCTTTATAAATAAGTGGGCATCGCTTTACGTTACGTGAATTTCAAACATTTTGCAAATTAATGCGCGGGATTTAGTTTTTCCTTTACAAAACCGAACTGGGAAGCTGAATCGAAAACATTTATTGTTGAAAAATACGACGTATTAAATGGATTACAAACCAGCACGCTTAACTAGGTCGAAATAAAGGCATGTACGGAAAAGGGGAGCAGCATAAGTTAATCGGATGATCTACCCTTTACCCAATGAATCAGTGGCTCGAAGAATATTGCGTAATGACCTTGGGGTACCTAAAGCATTAATACCACTCATGTTGGACTAGAGCATTTACAAGGCGTAATAAGTCTGGTTACCAGTTTGATTGTTTATTTTCTACTCTTAATTTCAAGCGATCCTATTGGCCAAATATTCGTTTCCACCAAATATCGTAAAATAGAAATGCAAAAGTGGATCTCACTTTTTTTGAAAGGAATTCCCAGATTTATCTCACGGAAGTGAAGGAGGTATATTTTTTCATGTTGGCACTAGAAAAATTAGGTTAAATGCTTTTTATCGCATTAGACTTCAGACGGAATTTCTAGGTTTAAATGATGCGGCATCATAGCCTATTGTACCAAATGGTAACGGTACCTCAACTCCTTGTACCCTGTAATTGCCCTCGTTCTAGTTATCTTAGAGAACAGACTTTGATGTAGAATGGAAAACTTTATATTGTTTACGTCACTGAGGATTCTAATGTGGGACGAGAAATAGTAGATCCGCATACTGAGTTTTGAGGAATCTCCAGCCGAAAGGGCTAATACTCAAGTTAATCTTTACCTGAGTTAAGATGAGGACGGGTATGGCCAATTTAAGCCCCACATTTATAGGGTAGCGGATACTTTTGGAGTTTTGCATGAAGCTATCATGGAGGCACAATCGTTACATTCTACGCGCACACCCGCTTGGATGATCGTGTTGTAATCGGCCTTCCCTAACAGTCCTAATTTTTCATCTAAGATTCCAGATTCTTTGTGAAAAAATCGATACATGGGTCGTAGCTGTGGGTAGGACGAAGAGTTCTCTCTAGGCAGGCTAGAGACATAGATGTTCGGAGAGATGCACACGAGAACGCTTCGTCAGTGTTTGAATTGCTCCCAGCAATTAGGTGTACAACATCGCAAGCCCGAATGATGTTGAGTTATCGTGCTAAATCGTTCGGTTGTGCCTATATGAATATATTACATCTTATAGCCATTCCGGCTATTCATTCGTCAGCTGACAAGGAACACAAGTAAAGAATAGTTTAACGACGGGACGTGTCGGTCCTCCTAATCACCCAAGTAAAACGACCAGTAGATGTAGGCGCGGCTTTTCAAGAGTAGTACACCTCAGAGACGACAGTGTGTAAACGGCAACATGGAAAAGCCTATTCTTAATTTATGAACGAGATTGAGGACCGACAAAGAGGACGAAATTTCATGCGTTTGAATGGAGGTGGACAGGATGTTTCATGTCCTGATTGGATTCATTGAAGCCTGTGGTACAACGGATGATAAAGATGGATAATGGCGGGTCGCAAACATTAATTGCAAACGTACAAATAAACTGCCTCACAATTGTTAAATGGCATTTTACGTAGTCAGTATCGTCAGCGAGCACATTGGAGCACTTTGAATGATAGTGATATCAGGAGTTATTCAACACATCGTAGCATTTAACCCAATGACTGACTCTGCATTTCATTTATTTCATTCTAAAACAACCTATAATTGCAGGATCCGCGCGGAATAGACAAATCGAAAAGAAATGCATTCCCTCAGACCCTCGGTGATTTCGCACGGACCTCAATCCCAACTGGTACCATTGCAGGTAACTAAGACCATTCTGTTACCCTGCCAATGTCATCAATGAGTACAAGACAGAATGGCAAAGGCTGCTCCAAAAACCATCTTGAAAAACCAACGTCTCCCAAGTTTAACCTTTTTAAAGTCTAACAGACACTTGTGAACAATTGAAAAGATTCAAGACACGAGCGTTTAAAATCGCAATCTGTAACAAACGCGCCGAAGTCCGCTCGACTCTGTTCATCAATGGGAACAAAATAGACATTGAGCCTCAAAGGTTAAGATTCTGCAGCAGCCAAGCGCGAGAAACCTTATTGCACTTCCAATCAGGAATATGTGGACCAGGTTAGCGATGTACTAAATCGGAACAGCCTACACAAAACAAGAGCAAGTCCAAGTAAATGTCGGCCGCGACAAGATTTCTACCCAAAAAGGGGTTTTACTTGGAATTTATCGTGTTTCAGATGTCACCGAGGTCAACAGTTGTAAATGATCAAACATTTCAGGCCCAATGCGTTAATCACAACACCCGAAGAGGGCAAGAAGTGTGGACCATCACTGGAACATTGGAACCAGGGCAGCTGTGAGTTCGCACAAGACTGAGTACACGAATCCTTAGGGTTCAAAAACCATTCACTTTGTGGAAGGATAATCATGAGGCAATCAAAATACAGGTTGCTTTGTCATTATTGTCCACCACACAAAATTGCAATGCTTAAAAATATCGTTGACTTTATTCAGGGAAACTGGAGTCACATGTGAAGCAACAAAGAACGCATACCCTATTCAGCTCATAACAAAAACAGTTTACAAAACTAGAACGTACTGTTTTTGTAAAAAAAAAGCATGACATATTAGTAGTCATAATAATACTGAAAAACAGCTATCCACCGGAAATAAACACCCGAGTTGTACAGACATCATAGTCATTACTTGCAGGTAATCTATTGTGTCCTGAAAGCAGACTCAATTAACGTAATAAAGTGACAAATCAACAAAGTGCACAAAACTATATTATTTGTTCTAATTCGTGAGTATAATAAAGAAGAATTTTCGCCAGGTCAGTAGCAGGTAGTGCATTTTCAGTCTGCTTATTAGGCTTCGCGAACACATACTTGCCGTTAACCTGAGTCCACTGACGCTAAAATGCACTAATATAACAGTCACCAGATGGTACCTGTTTCGCATAGATCTTCATTTGTTCTGGTTTGGTAAAAAATAGCGCCTTAGTTGCTTCTTCAACGGAGAGCTCTTCGTAGGCAACTTCAATGCACGAAGCTACTTCATCTCTTTAATACCGTAAAGTAACATCAATTACGTACCTAGTAGCATCTAGGAGGATGTCAATGAAGTAGTTGTAACGTTCCGATGGAACATTTCCTTTAGAGAGGAACACTTTATGAAAACTACCCTCCATCAAGTATTGCTCCATTGAAAGTGGGTGCTTGATGTAGGCATTTGCATTAATTTCTTCTGATGATAAACGCTCAACTTCCTAACACAACTAATTAGGCGAAAGGAGTAATTACTGTGTGGAACTCAGCCAATCTTCCTTGTGCGAGTAGGCGTAGCAGATTCAACCCAAACAATTCATATTTGTAAGGAGAACCAGGCAAATTGACTCTGGACATTGACGAGTGATTACAAACCAATAACGTACTTGTAATCACAGTAGTAACATTTCAATTGTGACATATAACGTTCGAAGGCAGCCATATCACGTTTCTCGAGAGATAAAATAGCGCCAATCTCCAGGGTATCACCTTCAAACAACATTAATTCTAGGAAACAGCTCACGTGCAATGAGAAGCTCCCTTTTAGAGGCGAATGTTTCACGATTTGGCATATAACAAAAACGCGTCAAGTCAAGCTTAAAAAGTATTAAACTAGGGAAGAAGTACCGTCAACTTTTCCAGTTTTTCTTGGCAAGCAGTTAAATCATGGTTCTTCTTGTTCCATTCTTGGGAAAGACATTGAAACTTGCGCACAAGATCTTCCATCACTCATACACTAAGCACAGACAATCGACACAACGGTCAAGGTCAAGAGGGTTATTTGCCTAATTATTTCACGAATTTATACCTTAATATTACATAAACACTAAGGCACAAGGTAATTTATAGGTGATGTGGCTAAATCATTCACCAAGACAATAATTTTAAAGGGCCTGTCAGCTCTGATAATGCAAAATGTGAATGACTAGGAAATCAAGTACCTAGCATTTGATTGTACGCATCGATTACCCAAATTACCTATGGCAATTTTGTTAGTTCTCCCCATATTCTATAATTTAAAGCCCTTAAGTTAAAAGAAATGATTATGTGTGACGTAACTCACTTTTGATACTACTATTACGCAGATGGTAAGTTCTAGAGGGGATTTGAGAAACATGTCACCTTTAAAGTTTGATAGTGTATTCGCAACTAAATGTCCCTAAAGCATGCGCTTGGTATCTAAACTTTAATATGAACAAACATGCTGCACTGTAACCCCTAAGACGGGCATTGTTATGACTAATGGTATTCTGCTAACCTAATCGAATGCTACGCAAACAATTTTCGCATTTACCATCCAATAATTTTCTACCATTTTCAAGGCAGTTTTTTCATTCTCCGTCCTAATTATTTATGGAACTCCGAGTCTTCCCTAAGGCATTTGGAAGGTAGGGTAGTATTGCCT